ATCGCGAGCATCCCTCCCAGCCCTCCCAAGACTCGTCGGCAGGTGCAGGCGGCCGGGCCGGCCCAGCCACAGCCACAGCAACAGCAGCCATCTGCGGCGGCAGCGGATGAGCCAGAGGAAGTGGAGCTGAATGCCGGGCGGGCGATAATGCTTGGGCGGCGGATGATTGAGGCGGTGAAGAGGCAGACACCATCTGAGCAGATGGGCAACGCAGGTGTGTATTGGACAGAGGACGGGAGAAGGAGGGAACGAGATGGAGAGAGAAATATCTTGTATGTGATTCGTGTTGCCAGGTGTTGCTGTCCATGTCCACTGCGACCCCAGTGGCGTGCAGCCGTGGGCCTTCCGCTGCCACTTCCCCCAAGACACCGACGGACACACTCCGTAAGAAAGAAAGACCACGGCCATCACAACCGTCCCACCACCAACCATCAAACCACCCATCCCTCGCCTGTTTTGCCTTTGGCCCAACGGCAGCCGGCGTATCGTTCCCGAGCGCCCCACCTTCTCCGCCATTCGCGCAGCGTTTGTCCAGGCCATGGCTGTGAGGAACAAGCTGGCGGCGGAGGTGGGTTGCCGGCCGATCCAGGTGCCCCCCGACATGCTCAAAATGACCATGCCGGAGCTCATGCGCATGCACTGCACCAAGACCTTTGACCAGACCCTCTCATTCGAGGAGAGGATGTCGAAGCCCCGGGCTTCCCCCTCGCGCGGCCCGCCGATGCCCCCCATGTTCCAGCTGCCGGTGCTGCCGTGTCCGTCGGCGGTGCGCGGGGGGCGCGACGTGGTGCGTGAGAGGGGGGAGAGGATCGCCGAGGCCATGATGGAGACCCTCAAGCAGGAGACGGACCTGCTCTCACCGCCACCTGTCCTTGGTACCCAGACTCGTCACACACCCGCCACACCATACAGACAGAGCGACCAACCAAGTTCGTTCCTTGTGGTGTGTATTGTGATGGTGTAGGGATCGACTGGATGAGTGAGGAGGGTCACTTCGTGTCTCGGGTGTTCCAGGACCAGACCGTCAAGGAGCTGGGGAGCTACCGCCCGCACGAGTGGACAGTCGACGGCGTCCGAGACGCGCTGAGGAAGACACTCACCTGTCGCAACACCGTCCTGCAGCAGTACAACATGCCTCCCGTCGATCTGCCCAAGTGAGACAGCGACACATCCACACAGACACACACAGATGGGCCGCAGAATCCCGCATACACGTGTGTCTGTGTGTGTCCGGCTGTGGTGTCAGGTCGATCAAGAAGATGCAGGACGAGAATTTCCCCTGGGACGCCGATGAAGATGTTGACGATAACGCCCTCTCCGCACGCGCAGCCGCCGCCCCAAGAGCAGCCAAACCCAGGCGCCACCGACCTCCCCCATCGTCACGCAAGAAGAGCGCCCCGCCCCCACCCCCCGCGGCAGCCAACAACAAGAAACAGAAACAAAAGCAGAAGGAGAAGCGGCCCCGCGAGCACCACCTCTTGATGAGCGAGGAGGAAGCCAACGCGACCGCCAAGAAGTTGCTGGCGGACCTAAGCGCGCAGGGGCGGCTGCCGTCCATCTACTGGCTGCCGCGGCAGCAGGTCTGGCGGGTGTCGCTTATCGGCGTCAGGGGTGCCGACGAGCCGCAGAAGCTCTTTCCCCCAGTCAGCCTGACGCCGAGGGGCATCGAGGAGGCCCTCAGTTGCGCCATTGCATACAAGGCGTCGCTCATCTCGCCCTCCCCACCAAAGCTTAGTTCGCTGCCCCACGCCACGACCAAGACCCCGCAGAAGCAGCAGAAGCAGCCGAAACATCCGAAGCCTTCCCCACCCCGATCTGCCGGCTCGGCGTCGGGAGGGATGTCTCTCATCAGCAGGGCGGCAGCAGCGGCCGCGAGGGTCAAGGAGCTGGAGGCCGACAAGGCGATCAAGGATGTCCAGCAGCCGCCGTCCATGGGCACTGGGGAGGTTGCCAACCAACCCACAAAGCAGGAGGAGGAGGAGGAAGGCGCCAGCGCTGCCCGGGGTGGTGGGCCTAGCGGTGGTGGTGAGGCGGCCGTGCCAATGGCGGTTGACACGGTGTCTGGGGGCTGGGCAGAGAAGGGCGGAGAGGAAGGCACCATGGAAGGCGAGCAGAAGAGGGCTGACGAGGAGATGGCTGCACCGGCGGAACAGCCACCCGCCGCAGCAGCAGCAGCAGCAGTAGCAGCCGCCGCAGAGAGCGACCAAGTGAACGGCATCGCTGAATTATCAGAGGTACGCACAGCCAGCACACCACGATAACACACACATGTCTGCATCTCTCTCCTCTGTTGTATTGTCCATTGCAGGTGGTGGTGGTGCCCGAGCAGCCCCCCGCAGCAGCGGCAGCAGCGGCAGCAGCAGCCGCCCTCCCACCGCCAGCAACACCACAGCCACCGGTCGCCCCACACCGTGAGCAGGGTGCCCTCGGCAGAGTGGATCGTAACGCCGATGACGATTCAGCAGAGTCCGACGCCCCGACGCCCGAGTGGGTGGGCGTTGCCAACCTGAGCCCCCAAGAGCAGAAGGACTTGACCGTGGTCAACCCGCAGCTGACCGAGGAGGAGGTGCGCGGCACTGCCGCCCGCACCACCAAGCCCGCCGCACTCTCTAGCACTGGCGAGTATGAGGCCGAACACATCATCGCCCTCCGACCACGCACACAGACAGGTGGGTGACACAAACAAAGAGCGGACACGCAATGGGGGACAACACAACACAACAGGCTCTTTTGCGTGCTCATGCAGAGTTGGACAGTGTGAGTGGGTCCCCTGTGAGCTTCGAGTATCTCATCCGCTGGTACGGGTGGCCGGGCGGCGAGTGGCCCAAGGGCGGCGACACGTGGGAGCCCGAAGAGCACCTCAACACAAAAGGAATCAAGGACACGGCCAAGACTCTCAAGGTGAGTCAGCCAGCCAGCCGGCACACACGCCATTCACACACATGCATGGCATGGGTGTCTGTCTGCATGGGATGACATGCTTCGTGTGGTTATCAGAGTGTGTGGGTGGAGAGAAACCTGTCTCCCTGGCACCAGCTGCTGGGCAGGAAACGGACGGTGCGGCTGCAGGACCCCCGTGCCGCACAAGGCCGGCTCTCGTCTCTCCGGTCTCGCCAACAGCAGGCGCAAGCCAAGACTAGACGACACATGGCACACGATGTCGATAAAAAGGTGAGCAGCGAGAAGGGCATGTGTCGAGAGGCGGCATTGGTGGATGCATGGACGGATGCATTGTCTGTCTGTCTGTGATTAGGTGGGCAAGAGGAAGCGTGTTGGTGATGGTGACAGGAGCCAATCGGCTTCGGCTGCAGCTGCTGCCGCCGCTGCCAGTGGTACGTGCACACCTTCACACATCTCCACATTAACAGAGCAGGAGGGAGGACAGCATGTGTCTGTCTGTCTGTCTATCTGGCTGTCTCCACAAATGCAGAATCAGCATCGGCATCGTCCGCAACCCCCGCCCGCCTGGCCCGCCCCCACCACCACCAGCAGCCCGTCAACAGCTCAAAGTACGCCGTCATATGGCCCGACTTCTGGCAGTGGCACGACGACTACTCCGCCGCCAAAGGGACCCCGCCACCCCTGCCCGTCATGGCCACACGCGCCGCTGCCCTCTGCGCCCAGTACGACATCACATACGCCCCCGAGTCTTTGCGCAAGAGGGTGGCCGAGCAGGTGGCGCGGATGAGGGAGGAAAAGGACAAGCGGACGGACGGGGGAGATGACAGGGGTGGTGGTGGTGGTGGTGAGTTGGTGCGTGTCAAGCAGGAGCCGATGACGGGAGGGGGTGTAGGTGTGGGTGTGGATGGTGGGAATGGCGAGGAGGGGATCGGGGATGAGGGCCTCCCTCTTGCGTGACTGACTGGTTGATTGATTCGTGTGATTGATGGTCTGTCCGCGTGTATGCGATCACGTGTGTGTGTGTGTGTGTGAGCCCTCATACATACCACTCAACCACCTTCTGGCTGTGTGCGAGATGGTCGATCGTCCTCTCGATTGGCCATGCGGCACATGCTACCTAGGTGGATTGAGTGGCATGTGCGACTGGTGACTGGTGCAGTGAGTGAGGTGTGACTGTGTATGACCCATCCGACCATGCCACCCGTCCCTTCATCCGTGTGCAGTGTGTCGGTGGGGCACTTCTGCTGGTGCGTTGAGCCTGTCAAAGAAACGTTGGGAGCTTTGTCGAGTGGCTTCCATCAAAGCCAGTCGATATTGCTCCACATGGCGATGACAGACACGCGCGCCACCAGAATGCCACAGAGATAGAGAGCGAGACACGCGTGCTTGCACAGAGACCCAGCTCTTCATGCCACGACCAGTTGTGTAAGTATACTTTGTGCCGTTCATTCACTGCGTCGTTGACAACTCAGTGAATATCAGTCAGCATCCGTCCCTCGACAGAGAGCCACACACGCAATCATGGTCGCAAGTGATGCAAGCAAGTCACACGAGCAGGAGCCAGCCAGCCACTAAGGTGTGGTCGAAATCAGGTAGGTCTTTGCACAGGCGCTGTGCACGAAAGTCTAAATTTGCCCAAAGAAACCCATCCAGGTCTATCCTATCAACAGGTCGGCGACGCGACGATCAGGGCCCGAGTCCGTCAGCCGTCGAAAATCGATCGTGCCGGGCGCATCATGGGAAAATCTCATGCAGTCCCCACCCACACACCCACACCGCACGCACCCCCACATGCCCACCCACCAATTTACCGCATGCAGTCACATCCCTTCCATCAGCAGTCCAGTCCAGTAATGATGTCTTCTCTGTCTGTGACGTCTTCATCCATCCATTGTGTCATTTACGCGAAGAGGCCCTCTCCCTTGAGCTGTTCTATCCACTTGTTGGCCCGGCCCTCCGACTCCTCCGACTGGTTGTCCTCGTCGAGCATCAGTCCGCAGAAACGGCCGTCGGGCAGCAGCGCCTTGCTGTCGTCATGGTCATAGCCGTCAGTGCTGGTAAACCCGAGCATCTTACAACCAGCCTGCATACGACCACGAGTCGGTGCCGTTCGGTCTGTCTGTCGGTCTGTCTGTGTGGGTGGGTGTGTGCTGTGCTGTGGTGACCTTGAGGAATTGGTCGTAGAGCTCACCGGCAGCGTCGCAGAAGTTGTCTCCGTATGAGATCTGGTCGCCGACACCGAAGACAGCCACCTTCTTGTCCTTGAGGTTGAGCGAGGGCAGGTCGCTGTACAGCCACTCGTCCCATGAGGTGCCCGACCTCTCGGAGTCGGCTCCCGTGTTCCAGGTCGGCGCGCCCACTATCAAGCCGCTGTACTTCTCGATCTCACGCGCTTCGCTCACCTGCAGACAGACCCATACGCACAAAAGCTGTCTGATGATGGATGGTTGTGTGAGTGGCGGCACACCCACCTCTTTAAGATCGTCGACGTCGAGCCCCGCCGCCTTGGCCGCCTGGACGATGTAGCCGCCCACCGTCTCGCAGTTGCCTGTCGATGTGCTGAACAGCACTCCAACCTGCAATCAGCAGGAAGGGAAGGGCACACAGACTGCAATGCAATGACAGATCTGCAGATCTCTGTGCCCCCACCTTCATGCATAGCCTCCCGACGCATTGCCTGCACACACGGTACCTCGCTGCACATCTCTGGCCCTGTGGAGCGGCTGCAGCGAGCCTCTGCCTGGCGGGGCTGCGGAGGACGAAGCCATGGCTGAGGGACGCGGCCAGAGCCAAGATCGCGACGCAGGACACACGAAACATAGCTGACTGTTGAAGACTGAGTGCACGGAAATGCAGATGGAGGATAGATGGACGAGCGGCGTCTAGGCGGTGGTTTTAGGTAGCCCCCTAGGCGGCCTGTGCAGTCATTGGCCACCGAGCGGTTTCACGGAAGATCTTTGCGAGCTTAAAACTGGGCTTGAAAGAGGGGGTGGAGAGGCCAGGCTTTGGCAAGAGGCTCATGCTTGCCCTGCTGTCGTCATTGATTTTCTGCCTGTTGGCTTCGGCTGCCGCCTTTGAGGCACCACCATCCCCCTCGCGAAGGTCTCGAGTCCCACGGTATGGTCCTCACTCAGCAAGAACACCAAGCAAGAGATCTGCAGTGTCTGTCCTGACATGTGCTTGCAGGCTTCCACTTACAGAGAAGAAAAGGCCGCTGCCTTCTTCGGTGTCGTCCCCATCTGTCTGTCGTGCGAACGGGTAGGTACATGCGCCGCGCCCGCGATGGATCAGTCTGTCACACACGGCAGCCGTCCATTCCCCCGCCCGGCGTGCACACAGACCTACATTGCACTCACTCATTCACTGCTGTCTGTGTGTCCACTTGGCTGCAGACGCCAGACTGTGTCGCCTTCCTCAGGGTCTCTCCATCCCGCCAGCAGCCCGTCGCCCGTCGTCGCCCCTCCGGTGCTCATCAGCACCTCTGATGTGGCCCCCCATGCGCATGTTTCACTCATCGAGGCGGAGGCACACGAGGAGGCCAATCGACCCCCCGGTTATACCGTTGCGGCTGCCGCAGCTGTGCCAGTGCCACCCCCGCCCAAGCGCATCCCCCGTTCATTCTGGGCGGAGGTGAAGCGGCGCCTGTGGACGAGGATGGACTGGCTGCACATTCACGCCATCTCCGGTGTCGCGTACATCGGGCTCGGGGGCCTGTGGTTCCTCTGGGAAATGGTCGGCCCCTCCCTCGGCCTCCAGCAACTCGTCCCGCCGCCCTCGCCATACGACCTGTGGCAAGCCGACGCCCTTTCGGTGGCGCTGCTGCTGGTCGGGGTGCTCAACTGCGTCAGCTGTGCGCCGATGAGCAAACACATGAGTCCTGCGAAGTCTGAGGGGTTCGAGGGGCTCGGGGTCGGCATGACGCTGTTGGGCGTCTGGGAGGCGCTGTGGGTGTCAGGGTTCTACCCTCCGTCGCTCGAGTGGGCTACCGACGGCATTGGGGCCGTCTTCCTCTTCATGATCCTGCGCGGCATCTACACCGCGGAGCGGGCATTGGAGAGCGACTTGGCCATGATCTCAGCGAAATACGCCTTGGGGCGGATCCGCACCCCTGGCGCCTTTGCGGAGGCCCGCCTGGAGTCGATGGTCATTCATCGCATTGCGTCTTATCCCAACCTGCTGCACACGCCGATCTTGTGGAACATGCTGGTTGGGGGCAGAGAGTGGCTCGACCGAGTGCTGGACACCTTCCCCGCGGAGTCTATTCTCCTGTACCACGCCGCCTTCGGCATGGCGCTTGCCAATGCGATCGTCTTCCTTGGCGCGACGCTGCAGCACCGGAAGCTCATGACGTCGCGGCAGTGGATTGCCTTGCAATTGGTGGTGCTCGCCCCTTTCTGGTCAACAGTGGTCGATTGCCTCGTGTATGGGCCCGAGACGGTCTCTGTCAATCCTCTGGACATGTATGCCGGCTTCATCTGACTGGGAGGGAGGGGATTTTCAGTGGAGCAAATTGCTCCGTGTGCCTGTGTGTCTGTGTGTGTGTGTGTGTGTGTGTACTGCGTACACACAGCTGTGAGGGAGGGAGGGGGGAGGGAGGGGGGAGGGCGTGAGTGCATTTGGAATGAAAGAACGCGCCCATCGATGGGATGTGATGCGTGTGTGCATGCGTTTTCGATCGCACGATGTAGCGAGAAGGGCATGCCTTAATCAAGTAGTTCTCCCTTACTGAGTTTGCGACCTGACTATCTAGGGAGGGAGGCCCGTGGGTCCGTGTGGTGTGTTGTGTTGGTTGTGCTGTTCTTGCTGCTACCTAGCTACTTGTCGATACGGGAGGAGGCAGGCAGGCAGGCAGGCAGAGTCCCTTGCTTGGCCGGACATCGGCACTGACGAGCTGTGTGTAAGTGTTGTTCGCCTGCAGGCTGCTCGCCTGTGGGGTGTCATCTCTTGTGTGTGAGTGAGTGAGTCGAATGGGCGGCTCTCCTCGCTCTTGCGTGCCGATGGCTGTAGGCATGTGTGAAGGTGTGACTGGTGACTGTCTGTGTGTCTGACTCATCCCATCCGCCCACCCGTCCCTTCATCCGTGTGCAGTGTGGCGGTGGGGCACTTCTGCTGGTGCGTTGAGCCTGTCGAGCCAGCCTTGGAGCTGTGTCGAGTGGCTTTCATCAAAGCCGGTCGATGCCGCTCCACACGGGCAATGACAGACACGCGCACCACCAGAATGCCAAACAGAGACAGGCAGAGAGGGAGGCTTCTTTGCGGACCATCTAAACCCATGGCGGAGATGCTTAAGCGTGAGTATCCTCTGTGCCGTTCAAGTCAATAGATTTTCCATCAGCACGTACCATTGAATGCCCCTCGCACTCCTCTAAACGGAGGCACGTGTGTGTATCTACGTCTGTATACATACAGCCATGGATGTTCGCCATCTGGTCTGTCGGTCGGTCGGTCATTCTATCTATCCATCTCTTCCTCCACTCAGCTCAGGCACTGTGCTCCATTATCGTCTGCAGGTAGGTCTCCTCAGCCGTGGGCGGCACCACACTCCCTTTCGGCTGCACCAAAGGCAGACACCAAGGGGAGACACACACACACACAGACAGACACACGTTCATTCGCGTCAGTAGAATGGATCATCCCCTCCGCCCCATCCCTCCGCTCACACACTCGTCGGTTCTTGTAGTATTCTTTGACGAGTCTGGGGTATCGCTCGTCGAGCACGGCCTCCGACAGCCACGAGGGCGGCGGGACCACACCAGAACTCTGGTAGCCGCACCTAGACACACGAAGAGACATACAATACACCCGCGTGAACCTGGGTGGTCTGGATGACCCACCACTGGACGAGGAAGATGTTGAGGAATCGGCCGCTGCGTTTGATCTTCTTGAGCGACGTCACGCGGCGGGGGCTCAGGCATGCTGTCCCGGTGTGTCGAGACACATCCACACCGACAGACAACAAATGCCTTGTGAAGTGAGTCCTTGGATGTGCCCGTCTCCCACCTCACTCACCTTCGGTCGAGTACATGGGGGGCTCGTCACGGAGGTATACAGGGTTCCAGGCCTGCAATGGACACACACACAGAGGGAGAGAGAGAGACATGCAGCGCATCTCTCTCGCTTCTTATGCTATGTGTGTGGGGTCAGGTCACTCCGCCCACCTTTTGCAGAACGGCAGGGTCGTCGAAAGAAGTGAAGTTGTTGGGTGCGTTGGTGCTGTGTGTGTTGGCGTTGTTGGGCGAGCGCGGCGAGGGTGACCTGTGGCGGCTCTTCTTGGGTCGGGACGGCACGCACGGCTCGCCAACCTCCTTCTCGTTCTGCTATGTATGCCATCCGTCCGTCCAGACACACCAATAGATAGATACACGTGGATAGTGGTGCAAGCTTCACAGACTCAACTCAGGGACGGGCTCACGTATGTACCTTCGATGAATGCGGCGACATGTCGAATGTGCGCTTGGTTGAGCCTGCACACACACACACACAGAGACGGCAAAGCGATGGATGGACACCTTGCCCCAGTCATGTCTCTCTCTGTCTGCCCACAGCGGCGCACCTCTTCCGTTCTTCATCTCTCTTCCGGCGAATCCCTCCCCCTCCTCCATGCTCATCATCATGGCAGCCTGCCCCTCATCGGTGTCCACCGTGTCCTTCCGGCCCACACCAACCTCAGGCAACTCCATCTTCACGTCTCCGTCAGGCAGCCCCAGCCCCAGCCCCAATCCCGCCCCCAACCCATCAATCTCCATATCCTCACTACTCTGCATGCGAGACGAGAGTGCGCCCTTGCTGGCCCGCCGCACCACAGTCGCCCCATCCTTGTCCTTCCGGGTACCCTGCAGACGCTCGAAGAGCTCCTGACGCAGGGCGAGGTGCTCGTCGAATGCGACCTCCATGTCAGCGACCGTCATGACGCGGCGCCTCACATCCCGGCAGCCCGGCACACGGAGCAGGAGAGCAAACCAGCGGGTGTTGAACGTGATGTATCTGGCGTCCCTCTCACGCTTGAGGCGCTCGTACGCCGCCCACAGCGTGTCCTTGAGCTCCTTGGCTGCGTCGGGGTCGGTGGGGAGTTTGAGGGGCTCGTTGCGTGGCTTGCCGTCTCCGCCTGAGCCCTCGATGATGCTGTCCTGCTCCTCGCCGTCGAGTGTGTTGTTGGAGTGGTTGATGGATGGGCGGCGGCGGGGCTTCTGCTTCTGGTGGTTGTGCTCGGGGAAGTCGTCCTCGTCTGCATGGGAGGTCTGGGGCAGCCAGAAGCGTCGGTTCTTGTCACGGCGGGCCTTCTTGCCCCCATCATCCTCCAGACCACCAACCACAGACATGTCCCCCGTCTCGTCCGACCTGGTCTTGCCCACCTTGGGCTGCGACTGTCCCGACCTACTAGCACTGGCACGGCGGCCCCCGCCTCTGCTGTTCGGGCCGAGGGGCATCCACTCCTCCTCCCCCTCCCCCTCCCCCTCGCCCTCGCCCTCCCCCTCGCCGTCGCCCATATCGTCATTTCCCTCCTCGTCCTTCATGCGATACGATCTCACGTCACCCGCGCCCTCACGGACACGCACATGGGGGTCGAGGTGCGGGGCCATCATGGACTGGAAGGGATGCTCCTCGGGTGGAGGGGTCGGGGCCGGTGAGAGGGTCTTGACGTACTCCACCAGACGGTCAAACGCAGACATCACGGGTGGACAGGGGGGCGGACGCGGAGGGGGGTCGTCGAGGCGCTCGTCGAGGCGATCGTCGCCTGTCTCCTTCTTGAACGGAATGAATCCGCCGTCGCCAAAGCCGGCGGGCAGGAGTGGGGCAGGTGGAGGTGGGGGCGGGGATGCGGGCGTGATGGTCTCACTCTTGTTGAGCCCTGGAAACACGATGCATACACACACATCCATCCATCCATCCATCCAACAAGTGACCCCTTATGTATCCCCTGTCTTTTTGCGTACGTCCATTGGCCATTGGCTCCTTGGGTGGTTTGGTGTGGTGGTTGCGGCATGCCGAGGCGAGTTTGAAGGCCTCCTGGATGCCCTGCTCGTCCAGGTGGGACGGGGCGAAGAAGTAGGCGTTGCTGCAGCCCCTCTTGAGGGGTGTGATGACCTGACTCATGGAGACGGACATACAGACCAACACAGACAGAGACAGTGGTCTCTCTCTTTCCTTCCCACACAGCGCGATGTTGTGTGAGTGTATCTACCTGAAACTCCTGTTTCTTTCCGTCCCATTTGATCCCTGCCGCGCCCCCGTCCTTCAGCCCCTTGGTCTGCATTGCTTCTTGCTCCTTCTCGATCAGTTCCTTTGCAAACCCGTCCCACTTGCTCATCTCCTCCTTCTTCCTGCGAGTATTCTTCCGCAGCTCGATTCCCCACTCCCACCCAGGGATTGGTTTGAGCCTGTGGCGCTGCATCCTCAGTTTCCGACGGAAAGCGTTTCACGCGAGCCCCCACCCCAAATAAGACAGAGACAGAGACAAACAAATGAATTTAAAAAGGAAGGTCTGTACTTTCCGGCCGCTCTATCAATCGCAGCAGGCCGCACTGAGGCCGCTCTGCAATGAGTATGGACAAGCTGCGGTGCAACTTTGGTCCACTGACAAACGTCTCAGACGAGGAGGACGACGACGATGAAGAGAGGGAGAGCGAGAAGAAGAGGGCCAGGGAGAGGGAGAGGAGGGAGCGCATGAAGAGCAGCAACCTCAATCGCAGCCGTGCAGCCCGTGCTCCTTCCCGCGACCGGCTGAAGCGGGATGCAGAAGCCGCTTATATATATGGAGACGGAGGAAGAGAAGAAGAGGGACAGGGAGACGGAGAGGAGGGAGCGCAGGAAGAGCAGCAACCCCAATCGAGCCAGCAGAGGCTGAAGCCGGTCATGCCTGGGTGGGAGTGGGGCATCGAGCTGCGCAAGAACACCCGCAGCAAGAAGGAAGCCGAGGATGACGCCACGGTGCAATTTCGGCTTCCGACAACGTTTCAGACAACGAGGACGACGACCATAAGGAGCAGAGAAAGATGGAGTCCGACGTGAGACGGAGAGGGAGACGGAGAGGGAGAAAAAGAGGGAGCGTCTCCGACTACGAGGACGACGATGATGAGGAGGAAAAACGAATGGACAGGGTGAGCAGCCCTCCCCTCCCTCCCTCCCTCCCTCCCTCCCTCCCCTCCCCCCTTGAAGAATGAACACCGGTCTGTGGCGCGTGGCTGTGCGGTGGCAGGTTCAGACGGCTTTTCCGACCCTCTACGCCAAGTGGTAAAGGACGACATGGCCCTCAACACACGTAGCTGTCTTGTGTTGCCAGCCGGGGCGCCTCCATTTTCTTTGTATCGATCAGCCGGAGACAAAGGGTGATCAAAGGTGGGAGCGGGCGCCATGTCTCTCAAAGAGGCCTTCGTTTGTCCCTCTTTGTTTTCTTCTATGGTGTGCAGGCCCATCGCTGCGTACGTTTTATATGCTGAAGTACCGGAGAGAAAGCAACTTCCGTCACTACTCGACATGGGTGCCTACCTGGAAGCGACGGCGCAGGTTTCAGGGTGCGGCACGAAGCTGACAAAAGTGGCTTACTCAGTACGCAACAAGGATGACATCATTCGACATCTCAGTGAGTATTCATACCATGCTTCACTCGACATGGTATGAATACATCCATCCATCCATCCATGTAGCTAGCAGAAGTTCAGAGCGGGTCATCCACATGTCTGTTTGTGTGTCCGTGATATGCAGGCCTACAGTGTATCACTACGAGAATTTGCATGATGGCGCACACAGCGCGACCACCTCGGCGAGACAGGGGCGATGAGTGAGAACGGCGCCAGCCGGTGGGTGGGTATGCAGTAACAGGTGCACAAACAGAGGAATGGGTGAATGCATACCCACTGCCTGCTCTGTCTGGTCGCTGCAGCTTGTTGACAAGAAGGGCACCATCAAGTCCGCAGATGTCGGCGCAGGGGCTTTTCAACGTTACAATCAGGTCAACCAGTCACACGTGCACACGCACACAGTCAAAGAGAGGACAGCTCTCTTCATTTTCTCTGCAGGACGGCTCTGTGCCGGCCAGCGCGACGTATGCAGTGTCCCAACTGGAGGAGGGGGGCACTCCACCAGAGGTACACACACACACACACACGCACAGACATTCGATTCCTCCTTTGTTGCCCCCTCTGTGTGTGGTTCAGATACTTGTGTCTCCCGGCAAATTTCAAAGGCAGATGCACACACGACAGCCACCGTATGCATGTGTAGAAAGGGTGTGTCACTGAGTAGAGAGAAAAAGGTTCGCTGAGTCAGTGAGTGGGTGAGCCGTGTGCACACAAATGAATGGCGAGTTAGCATATGAATTAGAAATGTGGCTAGATGAACGGACTTAAACCACATCGACATGCTAAGAGGCGCTGCGTGAGTGTGTCCGCTGCTCCAGATACATACGCATCACTGGATGCGTCGATTGGTATACAAATGCACGTAGCACACCCCCCCCCCCCCCCCCCCCCTCTCCATCCCCCCCCTCCCTCCTCTCTGTCGCTGTCTAAGCACACCACACCCACCCATCCACTGCACCCACTGCACCCATCACCCAGCCAGCGACTGAGTCAGGTCCCCCTACTCCCCTCCTATGTGTCTGATCTATGTGGCGGCTGAGGCGGCCTGCCCCCCACTGCCACTACCACTGCCGTCGTCGACTGCGATATCGATGCCTCTGGCGCGGAGCAGCTCTTTGAAGGCCTCGCCATGCTTCTCAACCCACTCACGCTAACAGACACAGACACAGACAGACAGTATAGGTTCACACACATATCAGCTGTGCCGGGAACTACGCCTTGCTTACCCGCAGCCTGGCCGCCTCCCGCTTGAGCACGCTGCCCGCGAGGGAAGTGTGCCTCTCTGCACATACATACCAGACAACCACACAAGGAACGAGAGAGAGAAAGAAAGAAAGAAACCAGTGATATGTTTGTGACCACACACCAGCAAGCAGTGTCCTTCTCTCTCTTGTCGTGTTCCCTACCCCATTCGTCATGATCAGGCGGCCAGTGCTTCCATCGGATGAGGTACAGGAACGCCGAGAGGTCCGGCACCCCACTCTCATCGAAGCACACCTTGCCCGGCCTCAGCTTGATGGCCAAGAGCACATCCACCTCATACTCGGTCCCGTGCTGCGCTTGGGGGCAGGTGAACACCTCCCCCTCCCCCAGCCTCTTGGCCTCACTCACACGCGGACTCTCGTGCACCAGCTGCCACATGGAGCTCTCCAAAAGCCGCACAGACATGGGCCGCCTCGGCCCACCCGCCGCGCTACTGCCCCCACCT